AGAAATTTATGGGACGAAATTAAAAACGATGAAAAATACAGTACCTTAAGTCAAATCTTAAAGGGAACCGATTTGGAAACGGTCTTGAAAGATGAGAAAGTGTCTCTAACCGTCCTCATCCCAACTAATGACGCCTTCTCAAAACTTGATCCTGATGATCTTAAAGAATTAATGGAAGACAAAAAGAAAGCGGTCCAACTTTTAAAGAATCACATTCTGACCGGTACGTAACAAATTAGAAATACTTTATCTAACTTCTTCGTGCAGAGGTTCTGTGTTGTTCGGGAGTCAGTCGGCAAGGTTGGGGCTTCGACACTTTAATCCGCACATTGAACCACCAGCACCAGTCCGTTTCAAGACACGGCGAGCAAATACGAATTGGTGGCGCGTCCGTTTTGGAATGTGACGATCTTGCCACGAATGGCGTTATTCATACAATAAATAAGGTACTGCTACCACAACAAACTCGTTCGCCCGGTTTTGGATTTTTCCTGTTTGATATTTAAACAAAGAATCGTTAATGGCTATTATTTAAACTTTTGTGTGTTTCTATTGAATAGTGATGTTTTATTGTATGACTGAAACTGTACTTTTAAACAGTAGCTTTAGGATTATTACAAATGTGTGTTAATAAAAAACTAGAAATTATTTACTTTGTTGAATATTGTGTTGTGAGGAAGGTATCTTGCGTTGGCAGAAATGACACAACCCTCGAAATATAACCATTGGGATTTGGGATAATGGGCTTTGTACTACTCATATGGTTGCATCACTCGGTAGCATCTCTTGCTGGAACTATATGCATTTTCATCTCTATATATAAAAATGAACCCCTATTTCTTCTGGTCGCGCAATAACTTTAGAAAGACTACCGATTTCATTCATCTTTTTTTTTAAGTTTTTTAATACTGTGTAGAAGGTACTTAACGGCAAGAAAAATGGAGAAAACTTAACAACTATTTAAACATCGCGCGTTTGACGGTGCGACGGCAATTATTTTTAACAGCTACATGGATCGGCATATATCCGTTAAAAAATTAATTGATTCATTTCATAGTGTGCTGTCAATTCTATCGGATAGTTTATCCAGATTTCAGTGAGTTTATTGAGAATCGCGCATGCGTAGGTGGGACGGGCGGTATCTGTACTAGCTACAGCAAATTTTTTGTTATTATTTATTCCAGTCCGAATTGAATTCATACCTAAGAAAGAGAACAACGTCCGTCGGGTCAGCTAGTACTAAATTAAATACCGGGCAGCGGTCGTGCATGTGGTTGCATCATCACTCATTAGGGAAACTGTTGTACTGTAGCTTTAGTACAGCGGGTTGGTTTTGGCAGAGCAACATCAATAATAAGTTATAAAGCTATTATATCAATTGTATGTACATTATATATATATATATATATATATTTTGTAATGGATCAGATGCAATTGACCACTGGTCGTTGGTCATTTGTTTTCTCTTTAGCATTCTTAGTACGGTTTCTTGAAACGACCTAGCAAAATTGGCCAGCACCATGGAGACAAATAATAAGATGAGCAAAAGTTGATGCACAATAACGCATGTACGCGATTCGGGGTTTACACACCATTTCATTCGAGGGAACCTCACCTTGCACCCTCTATCGGCAACCAGCGGAAGAAGACGTTTTCATGATAGCATCCGCCCGTATCTCCAATCATACTGGGACAACCATGACTCCGTAAATACAAAGTGGTCCTGGATTACGAAAGCGGCAACCCCCCGCCACACACAGGATCAGGGTTACGTCAGGACCTCCTATTCCGAGGCCATCCCCCCCGTTATCTCGCCAGAGAAAAAGAGGAAGTCTAAACATAATGTTGGCAACAGGAATCATCAGGGCGAGCACATCAGAATACAGTTCACCTATCGTCGTGGTAGCAAAGAAAGACGTCTTAACCAAAGACGAGAGCTCTAACCTGTCCCAAATCCAGGAAACTCCCCGGGACTTCAAGACCGCAAAGGTATTCTCAGCGATCGACCTCAAATCCGGCTACTGGCAAGTGCGCCTGAAAGAAGAGTCAAGACCGGCCGCTGGCAGCCTTTTCAACTCCTAACGGCACCTCCTACCAGTTCAGGGTGATGCCCTTCGGGGGAAAAAATGCCCCGACGACTTTCCAAAAATTATTCACACGGGTCCTGGTAGGATTCCTAAGAAGTTCGCATTAGACTAACAATACCTTTTAGAGTCAACTAGGCCAACCTAGACGATATTGTTATCTACTCTGACATTTGGGAGGCCCACATCCCCACCTGCGCGTAACAATAGAGAGGTTGCAGTAACACCGACTTCAGGCATCCCTGGGAAATTGCTTTTTCGGGGTACAGACCATCGAATACCTCGGGCATGTAATGCAATGTAAACCGAACCCGGACGGGAAAACATCGTTGGATATATCAGTACGTAGCTGAACCCTGCACAAAGACGGTACCAGGTCACTCCCCGGATGTGAAAATAAATGCATTATTAAAAACGAACGAGCTCCCCGACCACATTTCTTGCAACTCCTAGCTCTGACACCGCTGCCGAAGAACATACGACATCAGAAAATATCCACAGGATGTAGCACCGACGCGACGTCAGCACCAGATGAAAAGGCTGAAAGAGACCACGTCGTTATCGAGGTTGCGGGAAAACCACCACGCCCAACGGCTGCTGACCGCATGGGAGCGAACTTGTTAGGAAGGTTCTGCAACACCCTCACAGACACGATTACAACAACAGTACCATCGTAGGCAACAACCACCTTTATCGATGACGCCCCCAAGGCCCACTTCTGGCAATGCCACGGGAAATGTACGAACAACGTCATGCAAACTTACCACGACGTAGTCACTTCCGGGCCCCGAAGAAGCTACCCGCGTCATCCTCACCAAATATCACTGGCCGAAGATAGCAACCACCTCCGGAGGGTGTTAAAGGTTCTTACAGGCTCTTTTTCTTTGTTCGTGTACCTGGGAACAGAAGGCGTCGCTTGTGGGTTTAGTGCTCCGCCGTAGAAATTTTCAACTTTATTGTTTTCTTTTTTGTAAATGCTGCGAAGATCGGAGCGCGAAGGTAACTTGATGTAGACGATAGCTCTTGGCTGAATTTCTTTCTTCGGGATCCACCCAATGGACCAACTAACTTGCCTAACGCGCTTTTCAAAAACGGCCGGCGCAGATTTGGTACTATGTAACGCCGCTTAGCGAATGCTGCTTTCCCACTATTTACATTCGTATTTATAGGTATCGCTTTTGCGAAATCTGACCCAATAAGCGCGTTCTCTTACTACTACTACTCGCGCGTTGGTATGGCCTATTGGGAAAGTACCTATTGATCAATGCATGGAAAATGTGCTAGTTACTCGTCTTAGGACGAAATCTTGTTCTTTTTTGCGAAAATTGAAGCATCCTGCTTCCGACCCAATCTCATAAGTCGACTAAAGTAGATTAGGTAACTAACTTGTCTTTCGAAGCGCATTGGGAAGGAAATACGATATTAGGGTTTTGTCTCTAACCATTCCGTCATTCCCTCACTACGTATCTCAAAACTCGAGGCGAAATTGGGCATTTACGATCCTCGAGAGGCACAAGGTGCTCGAAGGTCCTGTGAGTCTTTGAAACTCTCGAAATAATTTGGAGGTCTTAATTGGTTCGTGTATTCCTGAAGTCGCGCTATTAAAATTTTCATTTTCAAAATTTTTTCTTGACACCAAAGGCATGCGTATGCAAATTCTGAGACCAGTTGGTTGTCGCACGTAAAAGTTATGCATCTTTTACATTCAAAAACAGTGTCTTTGGAAATAATTCATGCAGGGACCACCTTTGAGACAGCGACAGCTGTTGGCCGTCTGGTGCACCATCAAGGTATAAGCTACATATATATTGCAAAAAATTCCAGGACTCTAGGACCATTCGACAGACGTACGGACAAAACGCACGAAAAAAATCATTATAATTTAAGTTTCTGTACTTATTGACAGACTCTCATTGAAATTTCGTGGCTTTATGTCAAACAGCAATCCGGAGTAAAAAAAAAGAGTGGAGCCTCGCACGGATTTTCCGTAAGCCGTAATGTATTTAATGAGTCCCAAACTGACTCCTAAGATTACGTGACTCATGCTAAAAAAAATCTATAGATTCATTTGCGGGCTTCTGGATCTCTAAGCTGTATAAAAGGTTTTTGAACCCCATTCGACCCCCTAAAGTTGTCTTTAAATTTAAAAATATAGCTCGAATGGAATTATGAAAATTAAAAAAAAGAGCAAGTGTTTATTGCTCTGGTAAAACAGTCATGTCAATCATCGCAGGTAGCCGCCCACTGCAGAACTGGTCGCCTGTGCCTATACACAAATTACATTTTCATCTCTATCTAGATCTAGCCCATGCGAAGAAGACACAAGTTTTGCAGTGGGCTACCTGCGACTGTTTTTGTACTAGACGACGTAGTAGTTTTATTAACCCCAAGATAAATGGGGGATGCGTCCGTCGTCGCACGTTTTTCAACAAATTTCGTTGTGACACTTTCTCCGTCCGCCCGCCCGTTTGTCTGCACCAGTTTTTAAGATACTTAGGTATTTTTATTTACTTTGCCCTTTGCATTCGATGACAATTGCTTGATCGTAATCACCTCAATTTTGATGACGACCTTTATTCTTTAAGAAACAATTTCACTGGGAAAGTTCAAACGTATTTCCTCCATTTCCTATAATAAGTGAATATAGTCATCCACAACCATTATGCGTTTTTGAATAAAAGTCGCCAAAATAGTTGGGCATTTGTGAAACAATTTTGTTAGAAAAACGTCCAAACGTAGGACCGATGCCCAGTAAATGAATACCTACGACCGTTTGACTTTTGAATAATATTTTAAGTAGAAAAAATGTTGTAGATGTTTGTCTGCTCGTGCACACTGAATTCTTTATGCCGTTTTTATGTTATGCGTGGGATGGTGAGTCGTAAATAAAAAACCAAATAGGCACAAAAAACTTTATTAAACCTGCCACCACTGTGTAGAGTTATAAATGTTAACGATACACGGGGGGCTAAAATGTACGTATCTAATGGTATTAACAATATTCCAGTAGGTAGTTGCCAACGTCGTGCAGAATCCGCACGATATAATAAACATGCAAAAAGCAACTTGCGCTTTTCTAAACCGAATTTTAAAATATCCATGGTTAATTTTTCCAAAGTCAGTTGGTAACGTATCTTTCTCGTCGACGGCTGTATTATACACAGCTTCCATTTGAATAGTGTTCAAGTGTGCGTCTTGCAAAGTGAGCATTCTCATAAAAAATAGTGGAGGAAGAAGATAAACTAATGGACCGGTAAGCGCTCCTCCGAGCAAAGACATAACCAAGTCGAACCTTGGAACTGATTCTGCAAGTATAATAGAAAATACAGCTACGACACTCCTCATTATACACCTCTTGTAATTAAATTCTAAAAAAAGTGTAGTTAGTTAGAAAGTAGAGGGGGATGCTTGTTAAATTACCTCGTGGGATTCCAAAATAATCTTCAATGTGCTGATATAACGCACTATTCCCAATTGCTGACGATAACATAAGCTGAACCGCTACCAAAATCGCACAAAAATGTACTGTAATCGTGCTGGGGAGCATTTCTAAAATGCTTGGTCCTATTTCTGTACCAAAATGAACGTAAACGGCAAGGCATGTGATTGAAAAGAATCCAAGTGACACTAAACATTTTCAACGTATTTCTGCTAGCATGAAGAGAAACTTTTTACCAAAGAATCCTCCAAGAACGGCTTTACCAATTTCCATTTTATTCTGCATATCCACCAGTATCGTTAAAATTGTGGGATGAATGTCATACTGGAATGTTATAATTCCGTAACCGGACAGCAAGTTTTGCCAGACATATGGCTGGCTGTAATACGGCATAGTTCTGGCACTTGATGCGGTTCCATCATCCGAAATAATACTGAGAAATATTAAAATAAAAACAGACGACACTATACAAACTGAAACAGTACAGAGGCACCTAACGAAAGAAAAATTAATCTAACACTGCGTGTAGGTACTTGTTACGCACTTCATATCCTTTGGGCTCCCCAGCCACAGGAAGGGACACATAACCATCCCTATTATGATCATCCAGTAACAGAAAGACATATTAAATTCGTTGTTTGTCAAGTTCATTCCCACCAGCTGTAGATTTTGGGATGCTGCAAAGGAAACGGCACCGATTGAACACATCCGGATTACAAAGTAGGTACCTACCTAAAATCAAGTTTGGTATTCCAGCGCAAAGTATAGTCGCATCTAAAAGAAACGTCACGATCTTAGCCAATGTTTCCCCGTACGTTATTTCGGCAAGCGCAGAATAAGGGTAGCGGTTCTTCGACTGAATCCTGGGCTGAATCTCTTCGGCAATTATCCAACATTTTCCCAACAAAACTGCGGTGTACATTTGCAAACTGCACACAAAGATGACCAGCGGGATTCCTTTCCAGCCTGCAACTTTCTTTTGTAGTGGAGTACGCTTTAAAATTAACTCGCTTACCGCAGTCTATGACGGCTTTTGGTAAAGACACTATGGGAAACACGCCGAAAACGTCCACGATGCATATAATTGCAAACAGTAAGGATAAATTAGGGGTGGAAGATTCCGTTCTTTGCCTGTTTAGTAGTAGGGCTCGTTCGGAATTCTCCATGTTAATTATTTGTGTTCATTGATTATGCGGTATGCTCGTAGGTGCATGTAGCGCTTGCAACTGAATTGAAAGGTTTCCTATTTCCAGTAGGTACTTGTATTAAGTTTCGCAGATAGGTTACTGACACTAATTCAATGTTATACTTCGAAGGAAGAATGCGTGGAAACATTGATTATTTTTTTATTTCTAAATGCAATTGATTAAATACTCGAAGAAACCCTCACCCCTCAATGAAAGTGATGCGGTAAGAATTTTTCTAATGCTATTTCAGGCTTTAGCACTATTTTCTTTAATTCATTTAAATCTATTAACATTACATTATAGGGTTATCATTCACATAAACTGAGAAAGGCACAAAAGGGTAAGAAAATAACTCTCCAACGTCATACAAAGAATAGGATTGCACAAAAATATCAAAAACAACGAAAAAAGTTGAAATAGTATAGTATAGATCCTAGTGATAACAACGGTAACGGGAATGGATATATTATAACATTATAAACATTTAAACCAGAGGATGTGAAGGACGATGAGATTTTTGGAAAAGTTTAGTTACCCTCTACCCTTGTAGAGGCACTTCCGAATAAATGAGTTTCTACAAAAAACTGCACGCCAAATAAGTTTCAAAATTTAATCTCATATTCAGTTTAGCATTTGCGTGTAACGAGCGAGAGACCTCAGTACTGGAAAGATTGAAGTACACCTCGAAAAACAAGTGATAAGAATTCGATCAAAATAAACACTTCAGCAATTACAGTAATACGTGAGTTACCTACGTAAATAAATAATCGACAAATAACTAATAAAATTAAAGGGACATACAGGGGTAAATGTCAGAAAAACACGCCACGAAATATCAATATATCTAAAAAAATAAATAAAAAGGTCGATTCAACAATCTCCCGTTTCAATGTAAAATTACGTGTAAAAATAAACATAAAACTAATTTCGAAAAAAAAATTCAACGGGCTTATCTTTTGATCTCGTGGCTCAATCCTAAAAAGTAGTATAGTAAGGCCGATCCTGGCCACTTTACATTGAAAAGTGCCATATGATTGAAGTGTTAGCGTTTCAAGGTCAAAGTGGTGTTGAAGGTCAAAGTGGTATTGCGTAAGTGGGGGGGGGGGGGGATTTCAAGGTCGAGTGTTGAGAAGAAAGGGGTGTATTGTTTGTGTTCTTTGGAGGGGGGTGGTGGTGTCGGTTCAAGGCCGTTGGTAAGAGGGGGTGATGGCTGAGGTCATTGGATTTCAAGGTCGATTGGTGAAAACAAAGGGGTGTATTGTTTGTGTTCTTCGGAGGCTTCAAGGTCATGTGTGGGGATGTGTCTGTCTGAAAGAATGCGTGCCGATGCTGGCTCACTTGAAGGTCAAATCGATTTTGGGTCGAAGCTGAATGCGTGGCGATCCTGGCTCACTTTCAAGGTCGTATCGATGCATTGGTGTTCAAGGTCATGTGGGGGTGTGTCCGTCTGAAAGAATGCGTGCCGATGCTGGCTCACTTGAAGGTCATATCGATTTTGGGTCGAAGCTGAATGCGTGGTGATCCTGGCTCACTTTCAAGGTCGTATCGATCCTGGCCCACTTAGCATTGAAGAATATATGAATAAAGTGTTGGTGTTCAAGGTGAAATTGGTGTGGTGTTGCGTGGTCGTTTCAAGGTTTTTGGATTTCAAGGTCGATTGCTGAGAGTGTTAAGCGGGGTGTATTGTGTGTGATCAAATTGTTTTTCCTGAAGGCGATTGGATTTCAAGGTCGGACGCTGAGAACAAAGGGGGGTTTAATGTTTGTGTTCTTCTGGGGGATGGGGTGCCACTGGCGGTGCCAGTTCAGCGCTGAGAGTGTAAAAAATGGGTTGCGTAATTTTTCGGCTGCCGTCTCAAGATTGAGGGTAAAACGTAATTATTCTTCTTGCCGGCTTCGTATCTCAAAGGCCGAGAGCGCGCCGGGCGTCGAGAGAACAAAGGGTGTATTGTTTGTGGTCAAGGTCAAACGTGGTGCAATTCTTAGGCTATCGAGGGATGGTTTGCGACTTGGAGAGGGGGGGGTGTAATATAAGGTGCTTATTGGAATAGTCATTTGTCCATAATAATAATAATAATAATAATAATAATAATAATAGAGGAGATGTCAAGAGTAATTGTTCATCATCATCATCAGCAGCAGCAGCAGCGGCAGAAACGGAAAGCTGGTAAAGAAAATTAGAAAATTAAAGTGGGATGTGGAAATTTTGGGTTGTCGGCGCAGTATGGAAAAATTGATGTTGGGAGGCCTACTGGCGATTTGTGGTGAATATGTGGCGAACGGCTGTTGAATGCCTTCATCAAACCTTATTGGTATTACTATCTGATGCTGAGCATGAGGCGGTGTATGGACCTGAGACTTTTAGGGAACAGTGTCAAAACATTGCCCAAAGGTATGAGTTGGGGATTGAAATATGTAGACGCTTTTTAAATTATAAAATATCCGTTTATTGCCTTATGAACGGACTAAACGTGGCTCAGTTGGGTGAATACATCATATGGTGATGAAGAAAGTGACATTTGACGATAGTAACAATCGCGTGTATGTGCTGATCGCGTGGTCATGTGCATATAATGAAGCGCGAAAAGGGCCTTGGATAGATTTCGCTTTAGTAGGAAAATAGAGCAATTTTGTAAGATATTGTCTCTCGTCTTAGCAGAAAATCATCGATCATCGGTTTATCGCACTAGATTTCATGGTCAACATCAGACCGCAATATAATGGTATATATCGCACTGGATTTGAAGGCCACCATACAGCAATGTAATGGTTTATCGCACTCTAGATTTCAAGGTCATCAGTCAGCAATATAATGGTGGTAGAAAACGGTGCCTGGAATCAGTCGAATAGTGTTGACTAATCAGTTAAAATGGATCTTAATCGACTCAACAGTAGCACCTACTGCAAACCTTTCAAGAACGTCAAGGATATGAAGGTTGGTGAAAAGTATAAAGTGATTGGTATCGATCTAATCAATACCAAGTATGGCGATCGAATACTGATCGATACTGAGAACTTTAAGTGCATCCTTCCTTTGCGCTTTTATGAGTACTTCAAGAGCGACAACTGTCTGCAGATCTTCAAGGACTTCTTGTCCAGGGAAGAAGTCTTTATAACAAGCGCTGGAACGGCGGGGAAGACTACTAATTTAACATTTATGTAAAAAAGTTGTAAATGAGAGAGAGAGAGAGAGAGATAATAAATGTTGTTCACGAGAGAGAAATTGGGTCTCTTATTTAAATGCACATCCCACTCTCGAGATCATCTCAACGAAAAAAAAAAAAGGCTCCAAAATGTGGTGACGAGGATGAGGGCGACGATGACAACATCTATCGCGATATTGAAGATGTGTTAAACTATAAGTTTAACGTAAATTCTCACAATACAGTTTGCAAGGTGGAATTATTATACTATCGACCTACTTATTTTATGTATCACATATGTCAATAAACGTACTCTATTTGAGCATTTTTTTTTATTTGATGGAGGCAACTTCTTGCCACACTTCAACAATGTTGAGTCGGAAGCGGAAGTGTACGGATGGGAGTGGCTTGGTTAATAATCTCATAAACAAACTTCCAGTGGAACTACATATTCCTGGCTATCAGTATTGCGGACCTGGTACTAAATTAGATAAAAGACTAAAGCGAGGCGATCCCGGCATAAATCCCCTAGACGCTCAGTGTAAAGAGCTCGACATTTTTTTTAAATAAACAGCTTTCAAAATAAACAGGCTGTTCCCCCTGTTTGTTTACCTGTTTCCCTTGATCGCATCATCATGGATACTAAAGAGATGGCCTTGAAACGACGAATAGTTCAAGCGCGTAAAGTACAATCGTCACAAAGCGGATCGTTTTATTAAAGAAGTGGAGTTTGTACGAACGTATAAACCGCTAATTCAACCGCTATCCCAGATCGTTAAGAAAATCGAACCGCCGTTAAGGTCATATCGATTTTGGCTCACTCAAAGCTTAATGGGTGCCGATCCTGGTTGACTTTCAAGGCCATGCGGTGTTTGTCTGTCGAGTGTAGTTTCAAGTTTGAGAACAAAAATGTTGTATTGTTTTCGGGTGATCAAGGCGACTTAAGAATGGGTGTGGTTTAAACTAATATATAAGTGTTTGTTGTAATGGGTCTTTGCTCTGAATAATTCAATAATAGGCGAGATGTCAAGAGCCATTGTCCATCATCATCATCCACAGCAGCAGCACCGACATCATCTTTGCAATGCAATGGGGAAAAAAGAATTGACGAACTGTTACTGAAAATTAGAAAATTAAAGTGGGATGTTGAAATGCTGGGTTGTCAGCGGCTCAGCGCCGTATGAAAAAACTGATTTTGTAGTGATGCTTGGACGTATTCAAACTTTCATACAGTAGCAGTTAAGGCAAGGATTATTTCTTTGTGTGATGAGACAATGGCATAAATAAGACGATGATGGTTATTCTTGTGTATCAATTAAGACAATTTGTACTTATGTAAAGTTTGAGTATTAAAAAAGAATGTATAAAGGGTGCTTATTCATTTTGCCCTGACATTCTTCCTTTAGAACCAATTTGTACGTGGTATGATCAAACACGCTTATTTCTTGTGTAGGAATTGCGAGCGAGAGGGTTAAAAAAGTTTGGGGATTGGTGTTTAATGAACGCTCAATTTTTAAAACGAGTACACTGTACCTACGGTGAATAGACGTTCTGCTTGGTATCGCGCATTTGGTAAAAATAGAAAATTATCAGCTCGCATTATGTCGACTTGCGTATGCACTCATTTCATTGCACAGTGATATTCGCCGATTCGCGATGTGTTGTGGAAAATAATTTTGGTGTTTCTTTGTGATAATGATTAATTCGATTAGTATTCTCACTCGAACTCAGGTAGGTACGTAAATATTGCATTTAAAGTTATACCGTGAATGTTTGTGGCAGGTAAACTAAATTAATTAATATCAACAATCGCATTAAATAATCCATGTATTTTCTACGTAAAATTAGCTACATTACATTAATGTTTTACTTATTACTCGTAAGTACCTACCGAAGTACCTACTATTACAAATGTGAAATTAAATTTAAAAAGAAAAATTAGCTATTCTTTAAAAATTGCATGTAATTTATAATAAACTTCATGTCTCGATGCAGGTTTTCATCTTGAAGCCGTGGTGCAGCCAATTCCCGTTCTAAACGCTCCGTCTGGAGTTGGGAATTTCTTTGTCTGGCCTGGAAAATTGTCAGCATCTTCTCCAGACACCCCATTGATAACATCGCCAGCTCTTGGGGTGTGGACGGCTCGTGCCATCTGGGCGATTCATGAGATGGCGGCGGCGGTGGTGGTGGTGGCGCCTCTTCTCGGTCGATGGCTGCTGAAGACGGCGGCGAGACGTGTTCATAAAATTCTCTTAGTAATTGCATATCTTTTTCCCCCCTAGGCAACGGGGCACTGTAACAATAAGAGAAACAATATTAAAAATAGATTATATGTAGAATAAAAGTAACTTACTGAAAGTGATTGTTGCCGCCGTTATTTACAGGTAGCTGTAGTGGTAAATTTGGTTGTTGTTGAGCTGGATTATTTCTGTAACGTAACAATAAAATAAGTATTTCCACATAAACGGAGGTACAGTAATGAGTAAACTTACGGAAATTGATGCATGTCACCCATCGCGGATTGTGGATGTAAAGCTACCATTTCTGACGGCTGCGTTTGAGTATTTGCCTGGGGTAGCGGCGCAGGAATTATAATATGCTCCAATATTTGTACTGATGGATACGGGCTGTAAAACATATATGTATTAGAAATTTTATTTTTTCGTGAACAATAATTTGTACCTTAACTGTTGTTGGTGTTGTTGTTGCTGGCCATGTCTGGGATCTATCACCGGTGGTCTCATGTGAGATGGAGGAATCGTTGTAATTGGAGGAGCGTAAACATGATTGAAATTTCCCTCATATTCTTTTAGAAAATCTTCCAGTTCATTTGTGGTGGTGGTGGTGGTGGTAGCTATTGTTATATAAAAAATAAAATAATACAACATTAGTATCTATATGGATGGTGGAGAGCGAGAACTAAATTATTATACAAGTTTACAACTTACCTTTCCGGATGTCCTTCTTTATCTTCCGTGAGGAGGTTGATCACATCACCATCGGATAACTTTGTAGGTTTTTCTAAGGCGATCTTTAAGATTGAGCGTCCACCACCCCCACAGGCATTTATGTAAGGCTTCTTACTCGTTGCACTTTTCTTTAAAGTCAACTTGTTGTTGGCGCGTTTGGTTGAAGACATGACGATAACGTGCAGATTAACACTTGTGCTGCAAAATGACTATGACTACCCCTAGGTATATATGTGAAGGTTTTTGTTGGAGTTAGCAAAAGAGGGATTCTGAAATAACATCAAGGACGTTCTCACACACATATCAACCATTGTCCTGACACTTGCACGCTTTTGCAGGAAACGTATATTTCCATGGTGTTTGCAAAATTATAGTGTTAGCAAATGATACCCGTGGAACACCTGCAACCTTGAAGATTCCCAGAAGATAGCAAAGACAGCAGAGACCATTCTACACCTCAGTTTAACAATGATAATATTCTTTAATATACTTGGAAGATGAACTTATAAATGATTTTTAATCCGTGAGATCTCATATTGACGTGGTATCTGTAGGTATATCGCATTTCGTAAGATACGATAACGTATTTCCTGCCGCTCTTGGAATTTGTCGCAGCACCGTGTTTGCAAGCATCTCTTCTCGTTTCAAGGAACTATATAGGATAACAGTTTTAATTATAGGTAGAGGTGGAATCTGTTACAAGTTTAAGCAACAACATCGTTAATCTAACGCGAAATTAAATTAAATTATTGTAAAATAAATCTGATATTGTGCGACATATTTCAATAATCACTTCTAACATACGTTTATTAGAGAAGGCAATTACCAATCACCTTCATAATGAGGTAAATGAAAACCCGATAAGACTCGAAGCGAATTTAGCTCAACTTAAATGTTTTCGAGCGCAATTAAAAAATATCTCGATAAAAAAGGAGGGTTGTGGAATAAACGACATCATCGTGGATAAAAAAATCGGCCCCTACGTGCTCAGGCCTGATACACATTAGATTCTTGTTTCAAAGTCGTTTGATTACCGACGTCATTGTAAATTTCACTCATAAAGATCCTTTAGTTTTTCTAAAACAATCGTGCGACAGCATTGCGCGCAAAATTGGTGAGGCGCTAAAACGTTCAATGCTAAAGGTAAACGTAATTCTGGCATGTAATTTTATCCACCCGCAAGATCTCAATTTAGATTTGAAAACATTTCAAACCAGAAATGCTACAATTGATAGCCGTACCAATCTTAAAAAGTGGTACAAAGAGAACTTTTTTGATAAACTGCAAGCCAAATTTTCCGAACACCGGTCCGGGTGGTGTTTGATCGAGTTTTCTACCTCAAAATCAATATTATTAATTATACTCCTATCAGAGGTGGTTTTTCCGCATACATAAAAATGCCCTCGTTTATACTAGCTAAGAAGGCCGTTGTAAATGTGCGAAACAATGATAAGTTTTGTTTTCTATGATCAATAGTGGCTGCTTTATATCCTGTAACCAAAAACGCTGATAGGGCGAGTAGTTATCCTCATTTTGATGATAAGGATGCGGATGTGCAAAAGGACCGTTTCAGGAAAGGTTTCGATCACTACATATATAATACCGTGAAAACGTGTTTATTATTCTGTTGGAAATAAACAGCTATCAAGTCAAACAGCTTTCAAAATAAACAACTTTCAAATAAGAGCTTATTGAAAAACAGGCTGTTTCGCCTGTTTGTTTACCTGTTCCCTAAAAAAATTGCAAAGTATACTCTGGTCGCTCTACTTTTAGGGAATTAGGATAAAACAAATATAAAGAGTACATTTAGGCAAACTGTTTACCGAAACAATATTACTTTTTATGGTCTCGATTGCAAAATCCATATATTGAAAGCATTCACAGCGACAGTCGTAACATCCCGCACAAGTTCACTTCTACAACCGCCGCATTGTATAATAGTACGGTTCGGATAAAAAAAAATTATTAAAGTCCTCGTGTGAGATCGAAGGGACTTCAGCGCATTTTTGTGTAGCAGATCAGTATTCTATTAGCCACTTTGACTCAACCATCAATAAAAGATCTTGTCGTAGGCTACTACATTCACTTTGTCGGTACCCGCTTCCCACTTTCCGCGTGCACCCCCAGATGTCGCCAACCTCACATCATGTAGCCCTGTCCCTAAGGTTGACAAATTACACGGCCTTGTAGATACACGTACACCCGTTGTCTTTCTACAAGAGTTCTTCTACGCGCCCACATTTGCTGCCAGACAGCCAGCCAGCCAGCCAAAGTGAGATTAAAAGCTACTTTTTACAAATAAATTTGCAAAAATGCGCTAAAAATGCACGTGTTGCAGTGTAAGCAGGTTGCGGCCTGCGCGGTAAGGTGAAGGTTATACCTATACCATATGTGTTACCATAAGTGTTAAATTACGGTTATACTTAAGTTATAGCAGGATACAGCCAAAGGACGTTAATTCATAGTACAATGTGAGGGCTTCCCAGTGCAAACTGTGGATTGCTGCGTATATACGGCGTATCCCTCCGTATTTTTAACAAAAGGGCGTTGCGATGATCTCGAGAGTGGATGTGCATTTAAATAAGAGACCCAATTTCTCTCCCGTCAACAACATTTATTATTTCTCTCTCTCTCTCTCATTTACAACATGATAAGGATGCAGATGTGTCAACAGCTTTCAAAATAAACAACTTTCAAATATGAACTTATTGAAAAACAGGCTGTTCCCCCTGTTTGTTTACCTGTTCCCTTGATCGCATCATCGTGGATACTAAAGAGATGGCCTTGAAACGACGAATAGTTTAAGTGCGTAAAGCGATACAGCAAAAGTCTACAATCTTCTCAAAGAGGATCGTTTTATTAAAGAAGTGGAGTTTGTACGAACGTAACCGCTATCCGAGATCGTAAAGAAAATCGAACCGCCGTCATCATCGGTTATTGAGACGAAAAAGGAGGAGCCAGAGGACGAAGTATTTACATCGCCCCCCTAAAAAACGCCAATCTCCTGCAAAAGAAAGTCACCACTACAACGTATGATCCTGCGATACCTTATTACATGCGATCGAGACGAAGACCCTCTTCCCTTACCGAGATCAGTCCGCTGGCTAGACTTCCCTACTTTTCAAAATACTACTACTACCAGTGGTGTCATCCGGGGGTATACGAGGGTATACGGTGTATACCTTGCCTTTTTTTTTCCTAGAAGCGTATACCATGCCCTTTTGTTAAAAATACGGAGGTATACGCCGTATATACGCAGCAATCCACAGTTTGCACTGGGAAGCCCTCACATTGTACTATGAATTAACGTCCTTTGGCTGTATCCTGCTATAACTTAAGTATAACCGTAATTTAACACTTATGATAACACATATGGTATAGGTATAACCTTCACCTTACCGCGCAGGCCGCAACCTGCTTACACTGCAACACGTGCATTTTTAGCGCATTTTTGCAAATTTATTTGTAAAAAGTAGCTTTTAATCTCACTTTGGCTGGCTGGCTGGTTGGCTGGCTGTCTGGCAGCAAATGTGGGCGCGTAGAAGAACTCTTGTAGAAAGGCAACGGGTGTACGTGTATCTACAAGGCCGTGTAATTTGTCAACCTTAGGGACAGGGCTACATGATGTGGGGTTGCCGACATCTGGGGGTGCACGCGGAAAGTGGGAAGCGGGTACCGACAAAGTGAATGTAGTAGCCTACGACAAGATCTTTTATTGATGGTTGAGTCAAAAGTGGCTAATAGAATACTGATCTGCTAACCAAAAATGCGCTGAAGTCCCTTCGATCTCACACGAGGACTTTGATAATTTTGTTATCCGAACCGTACTATTATACAATGCGGCGGTTGTAGAAGTGAACTTGTGCGGGATGTTACGACTGTCGCTGTGAATGCTTTCAATATATGGATGTTGCAATCGAGACCATAAAAAGTAATATTGTTTCGGTAAACAGTTTGCCTAAATGTGCCCTTTATATTTGTTTTATTCTAATTCCCTAAAAGTAGAGCGACCAGCGTATACTTTGCCATTTTTTTACAGGTAAACAAACAGGGGAAACAGCCTGTTTTTCAATAAGCTCTTATTTGAAATCTGTTTATTTGAAAGTTGTTTATTTTGAAAGCTGTTGATTTGATAGCTGTTTATTTCCAACAGAATAATAAACACGTTTTCACGGTAGGTATTATATATGTAGTGATCGAAACCTTTCTTGAAACGGTCCTTTTGCACATCCGCATCCTTATCATCAAAATGAGGATAACTACTCGCCCTGTCAGCGTTTTTGGTTACAGGATATACCTATAAGCAGCCACTACTGACCATAGAAAACAAAACTTATCATTGTTTCGCACATTTACACCGCCCTTCTTAGCGAGTATAAACGAGGGCATTTTTATGTGCGGAAAAACCACCGCTGATAGGAGTATAATTAATAATATTGATTTTGAGATAGAAAACTCGATCAAACACCACCCGGACCGGTGAAAATTTGGCTTGCAGATTATCAAAAACGTTCTCTTTGTATCACTTTTTAAGATTTATACGGATATCAATTGTAGCATTTCTCGTTTGAAATGTTTTCAAATCTAAATTGAGATCTTGCGGGTGGATAAAATTACATGCCAGAATTACGTTTACCTTTAGCATTGAACGTTTTAGCGCCT